TGGTTTAAAAAATATCATAGGTCCAAGCTGTTCCATATCACAAAATATGGTCTATTTTGTAGCATTGTTCTTCCTTGAAGAGTTAAAGTGAAGTGACCTAAATAGTCAATTTTCCACACTAAGTTATTTGTTCTTGGAAATTTGCCCCCCTACTGTGATGTTTCTATTTCCTGGTTTACTAATAAAACATTTGAACTTTGAAAAAAACTAATTTTAGCAAATAATGACTAGAATCTTCTGTTAAATATGACAAATCAAAAACTTCCTTGAATTTGTGATAAAACATAATAAATGCATGTTTGTGTTCTGACCTTAATATGGGTTTGTATTAGCTAACTTAAAATGAAAGACTTGTTTAGCTTTTCCTTCCTCCTCATAGTATAAAATCTGCTTACTTATTTAACTTCAACTTGTGTCCAAAAATCAAAATTACAAAACCCAAATTAAGGAGAACAAATATAGTTAGAGAGGTGAATGTAATTACTGAACATCCCATTTGTTGAAGAGCTGCAACTTTGGAAATTCTAATTAATATATTGAGCTGAAATAATCTATTATGCTACAATTTTTTCCAATGATTCTTCCCTCTGGAAATATAGAAAGAAAACTGTAACATTGTGATTAAGAATGTGAACTCAGGGGTCAACTTGTCTATATGTGAACCTTTACTACTTAATAGCTTTATGATTTGAGGGAAGAATTTAACTTCTATCAGTGCTTTATTTTTCTTCATTCATAAAAAATGGAGGTAATTGACTTATCCATTTCAAAGAGTTTTGTAATGAATAAGTGGGTTTACATATATTAAGCACTTGGAACATAGTTTGACAATATTAAACACTACATAAGTGTTAACAATTGCAGTTATGTTATCACTACTACTACTACTTTCTCATATAGTAGCTCTTTAAATATATGAATAAAGTGATCACATCTCTCACTAGACTCTTAATCTCCAGGAGAACTATCCTGAGTTTTGAATACCATTGCTCTTTGGAAATAGCTTATGAGTAATTTGATTTTCCTAATTATTCTATTCTGGATGCCCTCAAGTGTATATATGCCATTCTTTAAGAAGTTTTGTCATACTCACTACTTGGTCAATACCCCTAAGTTCTATTGTTTGGGATAATATTGAAGTGACAGTGGTGCTAAAACAAGCATTCAAAATTAATCAATCAAACATCGTACTGAATAATTTATGGTCAGCATCGCACTAATTATTGTGGGAACTATAAAAGGAATCATAATATTATCTGCAATCTAACCAAAATGGCATAAGGAAAACAAACCAAAACAAAGGAGATGGTGTAGGCATTTGGAATGAAACAGTTAATCTTTATCTATTTTCCATTACTACTATTTTATTTTACCAACATTATTTAGGTAAATATTTATGAAATTTTTAAATCCAGGAAATAAAATTATAAATGTTACATTAAGCAGAATTCAATATTAAACAGAGTAATTGATTTTTATTTTCCCTGATTATTATACAAATAAATTACAAGTCTCCAGGAAAGAAGCTATATTTTGAGTTATCCTAATTTTATATATGTATATATATATATATATATATATATATGAAGAATGTTTCAGTGTTGATGCAAGTCTTGCTATTAATTTCAAATTATTTATTGCTTTTTCTCATTTTAGTCAGTGAAACTAGTGGAAAATCATGGAATCAAGAACACTTTGCTTGGACATTTCCCAAACCATCCATGCCAAGTAGAAAAGAGAAATCAAGACCTTCAGAATTACAAATCACAGTTTCTGTAAGTAAGGAAAAGATTATTTTAAACTTAATCTAAATTGGTACAACCTATGTAAAAAGTCATATAAAAATAATCTAATACCTGGAAGCAGATTTTGAATTTATTTTTCTCTGTTGAACAGATTGCCTCAAACTTGTTTCAGATTAAACTCTTATTTGTACATGTTACTTTACATCAAAGTCATTACATAGCTAATAAATTAAGCAATCTTGAAGCCTAATGCTATATCTGGTGGCTACTGTCAGCAAATGTTCACCAGCTACACACAAAAATAACCTAAAATTTGAATATTATAGCAGAAGTGATTTTATGGTTTTGCAGCTTCCTATATTCTTTGATTTGCAATTGAGGCTACGTGATACTAGAAGATTGAAGTTTACTATTCCTTCTATAAAAATCCTATTAATTAGCAAAGCATAAAACTAGTATGCATGGGACACCTATTTTGCTATCACAATATTTTTAAAGCATCTCCCAAAGTTACAGCTAATGCATTCATTCAAAGGCCATTAATTATACTGGTAGTGATCTAAGAAGCATACTTCTCTTCGTGTTTCTCTTTTAATATCATATGAACATTTGATTGTTGGTGTCTCTACTGGAATATTCAAAGAGTATAATAAGTAAATATAAAATAAGTTTTTGTGGCAACTTATTAAAACCACATTTGACAAATCTTTGGATATGAGTTGAAAACCAATTATATCACTGCTACTCAAGTTTATGTAGATCAAATGAAATGTTTGTTTCATTTTTTGTCCTCATTTTCAACAATACTCCACAGTTATGATCTCAGGTTTTCATTTTGACCAGAGACTTGAAAAGCAGAAATAGAAAGTTTGTTCTGAATAATATACCTATCACAAGAATATCCCTGATAAATTTCAAAGTGATCAGTTTTTCCTGGCTAACTCAGGGGGAAAAAGGCATGCAACATGTCAGAGATAATGTTCCAAAAGGACCACACTTTTGATTGTCAGGACAGATCATAGATGTCATAGATCACTAAGAACCTGTTCCAATCCTTATATGAATCATTAAGAGTATCCTAACATTTCCCTTAAAGTCATCTAATTTTCAAAGCAGAATTATGACACATACACATACACACACACACAACATAACCTTGAAATAGAAAAAAATATTATATTCAATTTTGAATAGATTATTAATGAAAAGATAAACTATTTCAATGTGGCAATATGAAAATATAGAACATTCACAAATTCTCATTATTCTAACTTATCTTTTCAGAGGCAAGACCAAAGAAAACTAGAGGAAGGTCAGAAGCCAGCTCATATATGGATAAGGCATTCTTTTAGAAAAATTTGTCAAAGGCCATCCATTTACCTAGCTATCGGGATACAGGCACCATTCAGACATCATTATAATCCCAAAACCCGTGATATAAGGGCAGAAATTAAAACGTCAAAAGATGTTAAAAATAGAACAATTTTAGAGAATTATTCCAAGAAAGAAACAGGCCCATATGTAGAAAATCCAGAATCCAAGAAAATAGTAAAAGATGATAAGCCTAAAAGAATAAGTAAAGGAGATAAAACACCATCAAAAACATCATTTGAAAGTGAAATATTTAAGAAATCAAAATCAAAATCAGAAAAAAATCCAGAATTCAAATATTCTAAGTTAGGCTCTAAAACATATTCAAATAAATATATGAAAAATACAATGAATTCCAAGAAGAGAGATACTGAATCCATATACTCAAGAAACAATCCAAAGAAAGACTCTAAGGTGATCTTAAAGAAGAATTCTGATGGCAAATCAGAGACTTGCTCAATAAATATTTCAAATGTAGATTTAATTATGTATTTGGAGGAGATTGATACTAAATCCATGGATGTCGATACATGGTCAAAGAATTACTCACAGAACAATTCAAAGAAAGATGCAAAGAAGGAAAAAAAGGAGGGGAAAAAGAAGGGCGGAAAAAAAGGCTCTGATGCAGAATCTGAAGATTCAAAAGGTGCAAAGAAGAAGGATAAGAAAGGTGGAAAGAAGGATAAGAAGAAGGATTCAAAGAAGGACACAGAGTCTACTGATGCTGAATCTGAAGAGTCAAAAGATGCAAAGAAAGATGATAAGAAGGATAAGAAATCAAAGAAAGGTGACAAGAAGAAGGATTCAAAGAAGGACACAGAGTCCACTGATGCTGAATCTGAAGAGTCAAAAGATACAAAGAAAGATGATAAGAAGGATAAGAAATCAAAGAAAGGTGACAAGAAGAAGGATTCAAAAAAAGATGCAGCCTCTACTGAGGAGTCTGAATCTGAAGGGGATACCAAAAAAGGTAAAAAGAAGGGCAAGAAAGATGCCAAAAAGAAGAAGGATGCAGGATCTACTGATGCTGATTCTGAGTCTGAAGGGGATACCAAAAAAGGTAAAAAGAAGGGCAAGAAAGATGCCAAAAAGAAGAAGGGTGAAGAGACTACTGAAAGCGAGACTGATGCAGAGGCAATAGATGGTAAGAAAGGTTCAAAGAAAGAGTCCAAGGATGCAAAGAAGGAAATAGAGTCTACTACGGATGACTCTGATAAATCACTAAGTAAACAGGATTCTAAAAAGATAACTGAGGACTCAGATGCCACTTCCACAGATTCGAGGAAGGCACCAACAGACCTGAAGAGAGGTGGATCCAGAATGTCATCCAAAAAGACTACTTTCCAAGAAAAAGAGAAGCAAACAATTACAGGTAGAGTTCCTCCAACAAGAGAAAGACCACCACTCCCTCCTTGTGAGCCTTTTTTACCATCACCTAAAGTGAAACGTGTCTGTCGGTGCAAGATGCCTCCTCCACCTCCAAAACAAAGATATGCTCCTTTGGTATGTTTACTCCTGTTTTATTCTTCAGGGAAAAATAGATTTTTAAATTTAAGACTTTTAAAAGTTTGAATTTACATATTTTCTAAATAATAGCTCTCTTTTAATTGTAATATTGTACAAATTTTGTCTCAGAGGCAGGAGAGATTATAAGTACTGTGAAATGTCTTAAAAGAGTAGCAAAACAAATGTTAACATTTTAGAGACTAAGAATTATTTGGACTATAGCACAGGGAAGTGGATCTTAGTTTAAGAAAACAAATTAATTTTAAGTAAGGTCATTTAACAAAAATGATTAACTGCTCTATACTTAGCTAAATCAAAATTGAAAACTGACTAAAACTTCTACATTGGCAGATTTAATTGATATATGAAGTCATTTCCTGGGAAGTTGCTGAATATAGTAAAAGCTCAATTAAGTAATATCTACTCATAGCAGTTCATAATATCTCAAAATTCAGATGTGCAAAAATTGTTATTTAATCTGAGTCTGGACTAAACATTTTTGTGAGTTATCATCTTTACTGATACCAGAAAATGAATATTAACTGTCCACAGTCTCCTTTGATTTCTAACAGTCACTTTCAGGTTAACTCCATTTCTTTGGAGGTAAATACCATGTATATTTAGTTTCTATTTTTTTCTCATTCAACAGATTATGTCTTACTTCTCCATTCCTCAAATAGTCTTTTTTAATGTTTATTTTTTTAGTTGTAGTTGGACACAGCACCTTTATTTCACTTATTTATTTTTATGTTGTGCTGAAGATCGAACCCAGGGTCTCACATGTGCAAGGCAAGTGCTCTGTCACTGAGCCACAATCCCAGCCCCTCAAATAGTCTTATTTTAGGGGGAACTATTTAAAAATGTATCACTTTGGAAGGATGGTTTCTGTTTCCACATGCCTCACTTTCTGGTTCTCTTTAGTTTTTGGTTGAGGTTTAACTCATATGTATGGTTTCTGAACATCAATGTGTTTCTTTGCTCTCACAATATTTATTGCCTATTCTCAGTGTAGTGGGACTAATACTCTCTGTCATGCAAAATACAGATCCTCTGTAGTTATGGTGAGGTCTTAATCTTAAGCTTCTCATTTTCCTTTATTGCCTCTTCCTATCACTCTGCCTTTCTTTCCTCCTCTTTCTACTCTCTGCTCTCCTCCTCTTCTTTGACTCTTTCAAGGGGCTTCAGTTTCTATTCTACTCGGTAGGCAATTCATTTTACCCTATATTCCAAGTTTCTATTTTTGGTTTATAATAAAACTATGTACAGACTTCCGCTTGCATTCCATATATTAATAATAGTTTACAAATTAGAAACTTTTTTTATATTTCTCACAAGACCTACTTCTGAAGCCCATTTTTCTCCCAGTATTTTCATAAAGCCTGCTTTGCAACTCAAACATGATTAACGACCCCTTGTTTTACATGATATCTTTTCTCTGAACTTTATGGATTGAGTCAATGGATGGGTAGCCACCAGGTCGACAAAACTTACAAGGAATTAAAATACACTGGAGAATAATTTTAAGGTAATTGTGAAAAATTACCCTCAAATATCTACATTTATTACAAAAAGCAGTTTTGATAAAAATAAGTAAATTATAAGAAAAATTATAGCCAATGATTACATTTAATTAAGAAAATAAGAAATAATACCTATTCTCCTTAATAAAATTCCTTTACATATTCCCAGTCCAGGTAGGCTTTTCCACCTTTATCATTCTACTGAAACTGCTATTCTAAAGGTTACCAAATACCATTTTTGTGGCCACATACACTGGTTTCTCCTCTCTCTCCATGTTATTCTGCCATCAAAAAACTTTTAAACTAACCATTCTTTCCTTCTAGAAACACTTTCTATACTTAATATTTGTTACACTGTGCTCTCCTATTTTCATTTCTGTTTGGTGGTAGCTTATAATCACCTTCATTCTATCTTCTGCTTCACCATTAAATATTGTAATGACACAAGTCTTGCTCTTGACTTTTAATATATGCCATCCCCATTGTTGAATTAACCCAATCCAATGGCTTTAAGTGCCATCTATGTACTGATGACTCTAAATTTAACATCTTTAGCCTTGCTTTTCCCATTGAGATCTAAATTCTTACTCCAAGTGCCTGCATGAAATCTCCACTATATTATCTACTAGGAGCCTCAACACAATACATCTCAACAATCTTTCTTTTACTTTTATTTATTTATTTATTTATTTATTTGTTTGTTTGTTTGTTTGTTTGTTTGTTTTGGTATTGGGAATTGAGCCCAGGGGATTTGTACATCCCCAGCCCATTTTATTTTACATATAGTTTTTGAGATAGGGACTTACTAATTTCTAAGAGGCTGGCCTCAAATTTGCAAAACTGTCTCAGCTTCCTGAGCTACAGGGATTACAGGTGTGCACCATCATTCCCAGCAGTAGATGAAGTTTTATTTGCACAGAGTATGGAACTCAGGGGTACTTTACCACTAAGCTACATTCCAAGGCCTACCTCTTTTTTGAGGTAGGGTCTGGCTAAGTTGTCAAGGCTCACCTTGAACTTGTGATTTTTCTACCTCAGCCACCCAAGTAATTGAAATTCAGGAGTGTGCCACTAAGCGTAGCAACTCAGTGACACTCTTAACCTCTCCTAAAATCTGTTCCTACTCTAGCCTCTGTCTTATCAAATGGCACCACTATCCAACTACTTGAGATTTTAAATCCCGAATACAATATGAATTTCTCTTTTCTTCACCCCTAACATGTAATCAATTAGTAAGATATAGCTACCTTATAACCTGAAGCAGCACAGTTTTCTTCATCTCCAAAACTACCACTTTAATGACCCAAATCATCAACATTGTCTTTCCGGAATACTATGAAAGTTTCCAACTAGTGTACCACTATAATGCTTAAAAGATTTTGGTGGATTCCCATTGCAATCAGGATAGAATCAAATTCCTTACTCTTGTTTTCAGTCCCTACACTATCCAGCTGCTACCCTTTTTTTCACCCTTAAATTGTATCACTTTTTGCCTTTTATTTACCTATCTAGCTGAATTAGCATTCTTTTTCTTTCTCATACATATCAAAGCCATTTACTCACCAAGTCTTTGATTTATATTGTTCTCTCTGAATAGAAAACTCCACTGTATGAACTTTGAGGGGCTAATCTTTCTCATTACTTAGATTTTCAGCTTAAATGTGGTCTTTAGAGAAGCCTTCCTTAATTACCCCTCTTACCCACTGTCCATTAGATCTTTAAATCCTGAATCCTACGTTATTTCTCTTCACTGAATTTATGTTTATTTTAAAATTAATTGCTGATTAATATTTTTTAAAAATATCTTTATTTACTTATTTTTATGTGGTGCTGAGGATCGAACCTAGAGCCTTGCACATGCTAGGCAACTGCTCTACCACTAAGCCACAACCCTAGCCCAATATTTTTAAAATAATAATCATTGTTAGAATTCAAGTTCCCTGCAGGAAGTAATTTTTTTCTTTATTGCTATATGCACAATTTCAACAGCAGAACCTGAGCTATATTTATTGTGTGAAGAATTTGGTCTCTCCAAAGAGCTAAGAAGCTCACATCATGATAATTGAATTTCTGAAATCCATCGTTCTACAGTTAGTAAGACATGATTATCCTACCACCAAAATATACCCTGAATCAGTCAATGTTTCTACATTTTCATAACTAATAGTACCAATCTTCCTCCTTCTTCACCACTTCCTCCTCTTCCTCCTCCTCCTCCTCCTCCTCATCATCATCATTATCATCATCTCTCCAATATCTGTGCTAGCCATAATAGACAAGGTATTTGAAGTGGGAATTTTTTTAAGTGCATTGTGCATTCTAAGTGTCTGGATAAATATTTATATTTATACTTCTCATTTAGTGTTGAAGAATATATGAACAGATTGTGTTAATAAGTCTTAGGTCTCCTTTAGCAGGGATTCAAAGAATTGCATCATTTTCTCTTTCCATCCCCATTCGAGTTCCACTGAGCTTCACAGCAGAACATAAACAAAGTTACTGTCACATTTCAGAGCTAGCTCTGTTAACACTCTTGTATTAAGATAGCTTTGACTTGAATCCTTGGTATACATCTTACTACCAATACTGTTGAGTACTTTCTTAATCATTTGGAACACCACATTTCAGAATTGCAAAATGGGGTATTAAAAAGACTTTTTTTCATAGGAAAATTAAGCATGTACATTGCTTAGTGTAGTGTATGGCATTGTATTTTGCATAAGCCTGAAGCTCTCCTCCTATTATATTTCCAAAAAAAATATATAGGTGGATTTTAATTTTATTCAGATTATATAAATAAAATTAAAAAGAAAAATATTCTGTGGAAAATGTTCAAGTCAATAAGCAAACCAACCAATATTCTCAACTGTTGTTTTCTCTAGAAAATTGATTAATTGATAATGCATTTTGTTTTCCATCAAGTATTATCATTTACTGAGCAAAAAAAGATTATATGGAATTACATGATTTTAATTTAATAGCCTAGACAGAAAGACTCATATATATGTTCCAGATTTTAATTTTTTGCTGCTTACTTTCATATCTATAAATAATATCTTTACATATATGCTTCTTAATTTTACACATTTTCTATTGATTTTCTACCATGTTTATGTCATATGTTCTAATGACCTCACATTCCTTCTTCTAGTATGGTTCAACCTTTATTTTTTTTTCTTTTATTAACTCCATTTATGACTTTAAATATTATATTTCTAATTTTTGCCTAGTTCCCTTACTCTTAAGTTCTTTCCTGTTGCTACTAGTTCTTCATTTAAAATTGCTCATTTTAATTAGCATATTATAATTCTTCAGATTATTATGTCATATGTATACATGCACATAATTTGATCAGATTCATTCCCCTGAAACTTTCCTTTCCCTCCTCTCCACCTTCTGTATGATCCACTTTCTCTATTCTAATATCCATTTTCTTTTTATTATTATTAATTTAATCATTTCATTGTAGTTATAAGTAAAAACTGTATTTGTTGTGGTGTGTTTGTACATGAATATAGCATAATTTGGTAGTTTTCCTTCTCCAGTACCACCTGATGCACTACACTATTCCCTCCCTCTCGATCCCCTTGTCTGTTCTGTTATTCTCCCTTCTATTTTCATGAGAATCCCCTTTTTATACATTATTTTCCCTCTCACTAGTTTCCAAATATGAGAAAAAAACATTTGAACAGTCAATTTCTGAGTCAGGATTATTTCATTTAGTATGATGTACCTCCTGTTGTTCCTCCATTTACCAGTAAATGACATAATTTCATTTTATTTTTTATGGCTGAGTAAGCCTCCATAGTATACATGATTTCCTATAGTGATCTTTCACCAAATTCTCTGGCTTTGTCTCTATTGATATTCCCTTGTCACCTTTTGTCTTTATCAGAAATATATCTCTTCCTGTAATATCCCTGAATGTTTACTCTCATATTTGTTTCCTCCTCTTCTCATACCACTATTTCTCTGTCTCAGTTTCTGATACTTACACTTTTTTCCATGTGCAATTCAATATTGTTTTTTTATGGCTCAGTTCTTAGACATTCATTCTTCTCTACATATTCTATTTGGAAGCATTTTTATATTATTATTTCTTCCATTTTGCATTTCTATTTTTATTTTTTCATACCTCTGAATGAATAAAATGTATCTCTAGACTGTTCTCTTATCCAAAAGTGCACCTGTTATTTCTTATATTTAATCAATTTATAGTTGCAGAGGGGAAAAAAAGATTTGAGATTTAAATTTATCTTTAAATTGTATTTTTGGGCATGAGTGATTTGAAATAAATCCTCTATAAATAATAGTATCAAACCTACTCATTATAATTAATTATTCTTATGTTCAAATGAGAAAGAAGTTAAAAGAGTTTTGTAAATGACAAATTATTATATAAATACAATGATTTATTATAGTTATTACTGCCTTTTGCCTTCTTTATATTACTCCCATTTTTCTTCAGTAACCCCTTCTTTTGTTATTTACTTCAAAACATAACTTTCCCTCCAAAAAATAACACAGTTTTTTCTATTTTTTGGTTGACATTAATATTATCTTCCAAACAAACTGAAAATCCCTCATTGGCATTGACTAAATTCTTATATTCACCATAGCACCAGAATGTTGTTCTGCATGCTGAATATGATTAATAAATATCTGTTGATTAACATGGAGATTTTGCCAGCAGAAGCCATGGCTTTATTTTTAACCTGAACATTATATTTTTATTTAGATTTTTTGTAATATTCACTTGACTCATCAATTTAACTTTCTCCATTTTATCTGAATAATCTTTTGTAAACTTTGCTGGATTCTGTTGACACTATCTTGAAAATATACCTAGAATTTAATTGCTACCCATTAACTGTGTTGTGATGCTGCAAGTCTAAGCAATTATTATCACTCTCCTGAAATACTGCTGTAACTATATAAAAGATCTTTATGCTTTTAATCTTGCCTCATTGTATTATGACCAAATTATGCTGTTCTATCCTGTGCATGAATGAATATCTGACAACAAATTCTACTGTTATGCATAGTTATTATGCACCAAATAAATAAGTTTAAAAATATCCCCTTGAATATCAGATTGTCACCCCTATGCTTACAACTCGTGTAACAAAGGGAAGGGACATATGAAACTTTTGGGGAGTGAGTGAAGTGTTCAATGTCTTGACTGCAGGAGTGGTTTGACAACTGTATGTCTGTAGAAACACATCAACCTGTAAATTGATGTAGATTGTTTTATATCCATTTAATCAACAAAGCTGTTTAAAACAAAGTTGATGAAAATATATGATACTTAGAATCAGCAGAATTAAATTAAAACTGAAAGAAACAAACTAACCTGAAAAACTCTATAATGCCAGAATAAATGACAAAATGTTTACAATTTTCAACAAAGCCCTAGATAATATGATTCACTTTTACCTCTTATTTTATTTTTTTCTACGTTGTCAACCTGATTTAACCACATTGGCTCCTCCACTATTCCTTGAATAACCCAGGAATATTATTTAGGGGTATATACTTGTCATTTCATCTACATAGAGTATTCTTTCCATAGATTTCTGCATGGTTAACTCCCTTACTTCTTCAAAAATTTGCTCATCTGTCAAATTCTCAATGAGGCAACTCTGATCACATTATTTAAAAGTGCAACTGTTGGGCATGGTGGTGCTTACCTGTAATCCCAGCATCAGAAAGCTGAGGCAGAAGCACTGAAAATTCAACTCCAGCCTCAGCAACTTAACGAGGCCCTAAGCAACCCAATGAGACCCTGTCTATAATAAAACACACACAAAAAAAAGGCTGGGGATGTGGCTCAGCAGTTAAGTGCCCCTGGGTTCAATACCTGGTACCAAAAAAAAATGCAATTCTTCCCCTTCACACTCTCACCCTTATCTCATCTACATGTTCATATAATTTGCTAACTTCCAATATTTAATTTAATTATTTATTATGTTGATTGTAGATTGTACATACCCTTTGCTAGAAAAGCAAACTCTTTGAGGCTAAACTCCTTGCTTTGCTTACTAATATATGTGAAATGACCTAAAAAATGTCTGGCACTCAATATTTGTTGAATAAGTAGATGATATTTCTTAGAGAATTAGGGAGAAATGAATGAAATAATTACTGGACAGTTATATGAACACACAGGATGGAGTTAGTATGAATTTTTGGTGTGCTCAGTCTATGAACTAATCTATTCATTAATTGAATAATGATGAAGAAACTGATATTTGAGCTGGATCATGAAGGATGAGGAAAATTTTGACAGACAGACAATAGAAAAGTTTCTATCCAAAACCACTCAACTAACAAAACTGTGAAATTGTATTAAGAGATGGAACATTAAAAGATGATTCTGAAAGAGTATGTTAACTGGGTAATAACTGTCATAGTAGTCAGAATAAAAGGCTAAATCCCATAAAAGCAGCAACAGGATATTTTGACACCACTACAAAAGTTTATTATAAGAAATAAGTAAAACCTCTAACAGGTGGAAGGGAAATTAAGTTCTGATTTATATGAGGGTAACTTCTTAACTGCATTTTTAATCTATATACATTCCAAATAATGTTTTGCTTGTATTGTAACTATTTATTTTCTGCTACTTTCTGGCACTCTAAGAATGCATCCAATTAATCTACCCTTTCCTCCTCACCTACTACCATGAGGCTTCATGTCCTATTGTTGGACCCCGGCTGTCAATAATAAACTCTAATTCCACAATATCGCTTCCTTGTACAATGTCCCATTATTTGGACATTTCCAAAAAATTTTCCTAACTCAATCATTTTCAGAGCTATGAAGTTAACTTATCAAGAAGGCATTAAGTTTGTTTTTGGTTATTCTTCCACCAATAATTATAGTTTAACTAAGGAGTTTAAAAATGCTAAAGCTACAGATCTAAAAAACGCATTTGGATTTGGAATAATGTGGAATGCTTCAGAATGCAAGGCATCTGTAGTGCACCTCCCAAATCACAATATATAGATAGAAGTAATTCCACATATATTTAAAGCTAGATCTAATCAACACTTTACCTCAATTATTTGGGAAGCATAGCAATGTTAGAAAGAATATTGAACTATTAATCAAGAGTGCTGAAGAGGCACACTTCTGAGAATAAAATAAAAATCCTTATAAGATTAAATCAGAAAAGCGCTAAGGATATAGTTCAGTGGTGCAATGTTTGCCTAGCTTGCATGAGGCTCCTTAGTATAGGGGAAAAGTTAAACAAAAATAAGAGATAATTTATGCAGGAAGAAATAAATATGAGATATAATCATGAAAATGTGTTGATTATGGGTAGCTAGCAATCTAATCAACCCTATGGGGTAATTTCACTTCTAATAATTCAACAAAACACACACACACACACACACACACACACACACACACACATATATATATATATATATATATATATAAAATGAATACAGCAAATATAATTTTGTATTTATTATTTATGTAACAGATATCTTGCAGCTGTTGAAGCTTTAAAGACAGTGGTGCATTTATTCACTGATGATTACAGAAGGAGACCTATGTAAACTTTCCTACCTTCTTCTGGGTGTATGTGGGAATATTTAGAAAGAATCATAAATGGTGACTGCAATGCAATCTATAAGAGAAAGACTTTGGAATTAAATTAAATATATAAAATTAAGATAATGCTATAGTACAACATGAAACAGAATAATATACTTTCATGAAAATAATAATTATGAAACCTAGAGAATTAGAAGGAAAAGATAAAACCATAATATTAATAGAGGCAGCAGAAAATACTATCATATTCCAACTAGAGAAAAATCTATATGTGAATGACACATCTCTATAGTAGACACATTTACAACTAAAAATATTTGTATTATCCTGTTAAAATTTGCAGTTACTATCAGTTATTTTAAAATCCATTTTATGTTATATTTTCATCTTTAGACATTCTAGTACACTAAAATAGTTAGTAGGTAAAAAGTGAGAGATTATACTAATGAAGTGATAATAATGTACTTTGATCATGTACAAATAATGGTGACTAGTCTAGCATTCATTAATTCTCACCCTTCACTGGACATTATCATCACTCAGGAAGCTTGATCAGCATGCACATTGCTAGACTCAATGTTCAGAGATTTTGATTTGGTATATCTGGAGTCCAGGAACCTGCATTTTTAACAATAAATATTAAAAATGATATCCAAGTATCCTTCCATGTATTAATTATATGCTTTGGTATGGTCTGCAACACATCAGGGGTTTTCTATATTTAATAATGTTTTCTGTTTTATTTTCATCTTTCTACTTTATTCCTCAGCCTGAAGCAGAGTGGATTCATAAGCTGCTTTAAAGAACAACTAAGCAGTTGGTTTCACAGAATGGCCTTAGAGTAAGCACCAACTACTACTCTCCAAAGAGCATTACTACTTCTGGGGAACTGTAATAAATAAAAACAATTCTTTCACGGGAACCAGGGACTTACTTTTTGCATATAATTTATTAAGGTACTTTAGAGAGTTTTGTTTTTATTACATGCCTCAACTACTGAGATCAAAATAATATAGCATTTTACCTCATGTTCTGCAGCTTCACTTTAGAAACAATTTCTGAGTTTGGGTTAAAAACTAGCAGTCTTACTTTATATGAGTATATCATGTTTTGTTAAACTTCTTTTTTAAATTTTTATTTGTTCTTTTTAGATATACAGGAAAGTAGAGTATGTTTTGACATATTATACACACATGGAGCACAACATATTCTAATTAGAAACCCATTCTTTATGTTGTACATGATGTGGAGTTAGTTTCACGGGTTGTGTATTCATATATGGACATAGGAAGATTGTGTCTGATTCATTAAATTTCTCTTTTACTTAGCATTCCAGCAACTATACAAATAATGAAATAAAGCATAACTTCTGTACCTTTAAAAGAAAAAATAAGTTATATGCAGATAAACCTGGCAAGATTCTTTGACCAAATATTTAACTATTTCTTGAAACTTATCCTAAGACTATTCTAGTAATTTCCTTGCAAAATTCAGTTGTAGCAAGAATTCTGCTAAATCAGTTTAGTAAGAACCCCTATCCTAATTATCTGATCATATTTTAGATAGAATTAGTTTCCTCATATTCTACCATCCTTGAAGTGATATCTGATATCCAAAATATCCTGTTAGGTCAGTTTACCCAGAGATTTTCCTTAGCACAAAATGTAACTGTTTAGAATTTTCCATCTACAGATTACCTCTTCCTTGGCTATAAATTCCCACCTATCCATGATATATGTAGAATTGACACCAATCTTTCATCATACACTGCTAGATCCAATTACTATTGTCACTGTAATTTTCATAACATTCCACTCTTGAATAAAGTCTGCTTACCATCCTCAATAAAAGTCATTGGATATTTTTTTTCTTTACATTCCTATCCCCCACATAGCTGTACAGAGAGATCTAAGCTTAATCATTGAACTTTTTACTCTTTAGGTTATACCATTTTTTCTTTCTTTTTCCTTAACTTTTAAAAATTTACATGACAGCAGAATGCATTACAATTTTTATTACACATATAGAACACAATTTTTCATATCTCTGGTTGTATACAAAGTATATTCACATCAATTTGTGACTTCATACATGTACTTTAGTTAATAATGACCATCACATTCCACCATCATTTCTAAACCCATGCCCCCTCCCTTACCCTCCAAACCCTCTGCCCTATCTAGAGTTAGTATATTCCTCACATTCCCCCTCTCCCTAACCCACTATGAATCAGCCTCCTTATATCAGAGAAATATTCAGCATTTGTTTTGTGGGAGATTGGCTAACTTCACTTAGCATTATCTTCTCTAACTTCATCTATTTACCTGAAAATGTCATGATTTTATTCTCTTTTATTGATGAGTAATATTCCATTATATATATATATATATATATATATATATACATATCACATATTTTTATCCATTCATATATTGAAGGGCACCTAAGTTGGTTCCACAGTTTAGATATTGTAAATTTGCTGCCATAAAACATTGATGTGGCTGTTGTCCCTGTAGTATGTTGTTTTTAAGTCCTTTGGGTATAGGAAGAGGAGAGGGATAGCTGGGTCAAATGTTGGTTCCATTCCCAATTTTCCAAGAAATCTCCATACTGCTTTCCATACTGGCTGCACCAATTTGCAGTCCCATCAACAATGAATGAATGTACCTTTTCCCCCATGTTGAGAGCCTCAGCCGAAGGGGCCCCAGCAAACTTCCAGCTGCCAGCTGATGATTGGCTCACAGTGGCCCCAGCAACTTCTAGCTGATTGGCTCCTCTGTGGTGATGCTCATTGGGCTATTTCCCCGCCCATTCAGACTACGGAGCTGCTCATTGGGGGACCTTTTTGGCTCTGCCCACACTACCCAGCCAATCGGCCTCAAGAGCAGGAGGAGTGGGGGAGGTTGAGAGGCTTGTGAGAAGCCGGTGGTGGCAATTGGGCTCTGAGGGGTTTTCCTGAGGAGCTGTTTTGTTTGGCCTGTGTGGTTCTAAAAATAAAGTTCGTTTCTTTTGACAAGTGGCTCCTGAATTGTGCCCAGCCAGACTACGGCATTTGGTGAGCCGCACAGGGAACAACTGAGGGTAAGTGATAAGGTAAACTGCTGGCCCCTGAGGGAAGGGCAAAAGGATGGGTAGCCATTTTAAGATTCTTCTTTTGTTTTGCTTCACTTTTGTTTTAAGTTGCCTGTCCCTGGAGATGTGTAAGATGGAAGAAAAACTGCTCA